CTCAAGTGCAAGAGTTCCAACTCATCTTGCACGACATTCATGCTGAAGGAATGTCTCTGAGCGAGTCGTTCCAAGTTGCGGCTGTGATCGAGAAACTGCCGCCGGGTTGGAAAGACTTCAAGAACTACCTCAAGCACAAGAGGAAGGAGATGAGTCTTGAAGATCTTGTTGTTCGTCTTCAGATTGAAGAGGACAATCGGAAGTCTTCGGGGAAGGCCCCGATGATGGAAGCTCGTGCCAACTTGCTGGAGCAAGGCAACTCGAGCAAAAAGAAGCCCCCTAACAAAGGGAAGCAGCAGCAAGTGTGGAAATTTACTGGAAATTGCCACAGCTGTGGAAAGCCGAACCATATGGCTAAGGACTGCAGGAAGCCTAAAAAAGGCTGGTCTGAAGAAGGCACAACATGGTGCCCTCATTGCTGAACACGACCCTGTGCCGAGTGAACTAACTGACATGGATATGTCGGCTGTGGTGTTTGAAGCCAATTTGGTGGATAACCCAAGGGCGTGGTACATTGATACTGGTGCCACTCGCCACATGTGTTCCGACAAGGGGTTGTTTTCTGAATACACTCCTTCAAATGGTCGGAAGATCCACATGGGCAACTCCTCCTCGTCTGATGTGGCTGGAGTTGGCATCGTGGTGCTGAAGCTGACTTCTGGAAAGGAGTTAAAGCTTAAGGATGTGCTGCATGTCCCAGACATCCGAATTTGGTTCCCGGATCTCTTCTTGTAGAGCATGGTTTTAAGTTAGTGTTTGAAGCTAAGAAGTTTATTCTTAGCAAGTATGGTAAATTCCTTGGTCGTGGCTATCTCGACAATGGTTTATTTAAAATGAATGTAATGGCAATGAGCCGTGTAACCGTTTCCAATGATAATGAAAATCGTACTTCTGTTTATATCGTGGAGTGTTCTGATTTATGGCATATTAGATTAGGACATGTGAATCTAAATGCAATTAAACGGTTGATGAACTTAGAATTAATTCTTAATTCTAATATTGATTCACACAAAAAATGTGAAATTTGTGTTGAAGCCAAAATGGTTAAATTACCTTTTCACTCGGTGGAAAGAAATACTGAACCGTTGGGTTTAATCCATACTGATGTATGTGACTTGAATTTTGTGCAAACAAGAACGGGTAAAAGATATTTTATAACTTTTATTGATGATTGCACAAAAATTTGCTACTTATATCTTTAAGAAGCAAAGACGAGGTTGTGGAAGCTTTTAAAAATTTTAAGACCGAAGTTGAAAATCAACTCGGTAAAAAGATTAAAATAATCCGAAGTGATAGGGGTGGGGAGTATGTAGCTCCTTTTGA